TGCGGGATAAGACAACGAGAAGAAAAAAAACTCACCGCGCAGTATCTTATTTCGAAGCGAAGAAAAAGTTTCATTGGATGATTTCTATAACCGAATTCAATGTTTATTTATTTTTTCTCTGCATGAATTAGGAGGAAACAAAAGAAACTATGTGAATCTGGAAGCATCCGCGCCGATTTCCTGAAGCATCTTGGTTAACTATGCAAAAACTAGCATTTTGCTTTTGGGAAGGGCGGCGGGTACCCGAATCGGATGAACGAGCTGTCTGTTTGAAAGAGATTGCTGATATTTCTCTGTACAGTTTTGTCATCCGCTGTAAGAGTGATTCTCAGCCAAGCACATCGGCTTCAATGTGAAAAATTTAATAAGTAGGCGGAAATTACTGGATCACGGTGGCACCGGATACACGAATCAGATCAGAGAAGAGTCTCTTACATAGAGCTCGTCGAGTTCTATCACCAACAAATCAACCATGTAGTTGGAACCAATGGTTGGGCGGATTGTGAAAGGCTCTTTCCACGAAAAACTGAATTTGTGACTTTGGATCGGGTGTTTCAAAAAGCCAACCGTATTAGGTGCGGGTAAAAAGGTACTCCATCAGTAGAACTGATCACGATCTACTTCAAAACTTTCATCTAGTTGTTGGAAAGTGCTTTCGAACGAATCCTGTCAGGTTTCACAGCAAAGCCTAGGATGCTCCGAGTTTTTTGCAAATTTTCGTGGCCCAGCACCATCTGATTCTGCTTAAAAGGTATCCAATCGGTAGAGCGCGTCAGATTCCATTGGGAAAGTAATGTATTAGAATTGCAGACAACTCTAGGGCGATTCGCTACGGCATTTATTAAAAAGTGGAACGAGTGGATCCCGGATCAGGCATTTTTCTCAGAAGAAAAGCATTGAATCAAGTTCCAAGGGTCTCCATTCAATAGATCTCGTTGAGATCTATTTGGAAATTTATATATCTCAGTTGGAAAGCACTTCTGGACAAATCGGTTCGGGTTTTATTGAAAAACTGAATAACTGGGCCCTGCATTAGACGTTTCTCTGGAAATGGGAGCATCGAATCAAGCTCAAATGATGTCCATTCGATAGATCTCGTTTAGATCCAGTCGGGAAGTTATATGTTGGACTTGGAAAGTACTCCTGGGCGAGTCTCTTCAGGTCTTAGGAGAAATCTACGGATCGAACCTGTGATTGACCGTTTCTGAAGGGAAGGATTTATAAAATTGAGCTCCAAAGGTGTCCATTCGATAGAGCTCGCCGAGTTCTACTTGGAAAGTTTTCTGGAGCGAATCCTTTCAGAAAATACTCGAATCCTGACCTAAGGTATCCTACGTAAAAGAAAAAACAACAATGAGAGGAATCTATGCCGACTGATGCATGCATTTCAACATTCTTTTTATTATGTCATCAACAATCACGAAATGACCAAATATAGTATTGAATAGCATTATTTTAACATTCGAGATAATTTTGAGAGTTTGATATTCCTCACTAGTTCTCTGATTTTGTTAATGGAATTGAATACATATATAAAGATCAGTAATAGAGGTCATTGATAGTTTGTTGTATATATTTTACAGAATAAGGTTTTGTTAATTCCAGAACGTGCTTCTTGAAAAGATTTATTCGATATAGTTATCCTTCATAATAAGTGATTGATAATTACTTCTTTATAACATTTATTATCTACTCATAATTGATTCGTATGACCAAAAAAATTCTATTTTATCTTATGCCAGATTTTGATGATTATACCCATGTAAATATTTCGACTATTCTTAAAATAAAGATCACATTATCTACAAAAAAAAACTCAATCTTCTAGAATTTGATAATTTTCCAAACTCTATCCATCAACATTCAAAATGATAACAAAGTTAGTGTGTACAATGAATCAGTCTTTGTAATCAAATGAGAAATCTTCATTAAAAGAAGCTCTAGTTGATGAATTAACTTATCTTGGATCCTTATATATAAAGATGAACTATATGAAAAGCTATTGTTCGATTCAATGATCAATTTTTGACTCGAAAACTTATCATCATTAAGTTTCATAACAATTTCACATAGTACACTGGAAGTTTAGTTATGTACGTGAAACTAAGAAATGTTTAAATCTTTTATAAAGTAGAAAATAAACGCAATAATTAATAATCACTTGCTATAAGTATCATCTAATAAATTATAAAAATTTTCTCTTTCTTTTGAAAATTAAATTGAAAAACAAAACTACGTTACTCATACAATTTTACCTTTTCTTTTATTTAATTTCAATTTATTGGTACTTTTTTGTATAATAGAAATAAATAATTAGAAAAAGCCTATCTTTTCACAAAATTCTTTTTTTGCATCATTATTGTTAATTAATAAACGCTCGGAAACATCAACTATTGAATCAGTTCCGGGATCGAGTCATGACTGACCTACCGTCCTTATTCATTATAGTTCACTATCAAAAGAAAGTATCCAGGGCAAAGTAGAAAAAAAACTACTAATTCTAAAAATTCATTTTTTGAAATAAGAACATTTTCTATTAAGAAATATCGATATGAAGTTAACACGACGAATAGCTACTAGGACGGATTTAGATAAACCTAAAATCCTGAATACTTGGGCTTTTCAGGACGGAAATCTGGGTGCAGGTGCTTGTGTACATATTGCCGAGCACCCTCATCCAACTTCCGTCACACAATACTCAACGTTACAGACTTCAAGTTCACCTAAATCCGTCGTGATAGCTTCACATCGATTTACGAAATCATTATATTTTGGATTTATACATAAATAAATAAATGTACATTTATCTTGAAGACGAAAGTAAAAAGATTCGCGTTTATATTTAATTGCTATAAAAGACATCTGTTGATTGGAACTTGTTCGACTGCCCTCACTTATAGAAAAACGTCAATTTTTGTTTTTGTTTTTCGTTTTCCTAGGATTTTATCAATCAATTAGTTTCATTTTCTGGAAAATATTTTAAAAAATAAAATACTATAACATGAGCAGAAATAAAATTAAAGCAATAACTATCATCGAAATAATGAAAAAACAACACCTTTTCAAGAAGAAATAAAAAGCAAAACATTTTTTTAAATTTCTTTCGTTTGTTATTGATATTTCAAGGATATTTTATATTCTTGAGATTTGCAAAAGTTTTATGAACAAAGACAAAAATAAAAATTTATCTGTCACCTCAAAATAAATTATTCATTCGTAATAGGGGAATGAACTAGACAAATAATTTCGTTTTGTGAGAAAAATCAAAGACAAAAAAGAAAAAAGAAAACAATATACAAAGAATTTTGAACAATTTTTATCTAAAGTTGAAGATAAAATAGAACCATATCTGATAGAGATCGATAAATCTCATTATATTTCTATAAATATTATCTTAGAAAATAATGTAATTATCTAATAGTTTTTCTTTGGTATAAATCAATCTATTTTCTAATAAGTATTTATAAATATACGAATAAAAAGTAGATTCGATTTCACAAAGAAAAAAAAACCTGAACATAATTAGCACTAATTTCTTCTGATATATAAAATTTATCAATAAGATTTTTCATTTTAAATAACTATTTATAGAATAATTCTACATGAATTTAATAAATCATGACTTCCATATATACGTCAAATACTCATGATCTCAAATGATTGTATAATTAGATGTAATAAAGTCAAAAAGAAAAAAGAAATATCGCCATGAAAAATGGTCTGAAGAACATGCTTTATTGTAAAATTAATGAATCTATAACATTCTTAATAGTATCATACTAAAGATTATCAGTATAATGTTGAATTGAAATTGTTTTGACTTATTTCAGAATATTTATTCAATGTACATTCCCAATCTACGTACGAATGAAAGAGAGACGTAAACTATAGAACTACATAAATTATTGATTATACAATTGGTATTTCATTCTCATCCACACAACGGAATTTTCTATTTTCAGAGAATTGATAGATGATTTCAAATTCTTTTTTTTGTTATCAAGAGAGAGTAGTTTATTTTTCATCGAGTTTGAAATCTGGTGATATTGAACTCAAATGTGCTTTGATTAATATTCATTTAACTTCTTAAGAATAGATCTTAGAATTTTTATTTTTTTTTCGTAAGACTTTTCATAGAAATGAAATATTCATCCAAAGATAGGAAGGATCACTCGAAAAAAACTGTTCGTTTTTGTTTATGTTTCATTATTTCAATTGAAAATCGATCAAATTCGTTCATCTTTGTCTCATTTCACATGAGAAGATTGTTACGTCCTTATTTACGTTGATGTGTATATGATTTATATTTAAGATGTTATATATGTTTTTTTCTTATCAGTTATATTTTGCTGAAAATCAAGTAAACACAAACTCCTTCTTTCTTTTTCAAAAATGTCTCCCTCTCTCTCTCTCTCTCTCTGTCCCTATATATACATCTATATATCTACATATATAGTCACGCATTACTAACTGCGCAGTTATTTCAATTCAAGGTCAAGAAAAGCATTTTCTTGACTTTTACGAGAGAAGAAAAAAAAAGAACAACAATAGATATTGAAGAAAACGAACAAGAGTTGATAAATCACAGAAAAGAACGAAAATACAAGAAGAAAGGAAAAAAGAACCTATTAGGAAAATATCTAACAGAACGAAAGAAAAGACATAGGTAACTATACGGGCATGAAACGAAAGAAAGAGAACGAACATGTATGGATAATACATATAACTTCTTTTTTTTTTTACATACATATATATATATATATATATACATATAGCACTTCTAAGTGCCATAACACCTCCCCCACACAACAAGATGAACTTCCACGTTCATCTGAAAAAAAAAATAGAAACGAAATAATCAATTTAACTATTCAATGTTCCGGTACTGCCACTACCATTGTCATTGACTTAAAAGCTTAAACAGAAAAACTGTTAATTTGACTGAAAAGCATTTTAATATTGTAAATAACGAAGATGAATATATAATTAACGCATGTGAATTAAGTATGACGTGCGTAGACAAGTTTTAAAGCACTAACATGAACACGTTTGGATACCAAAGAATGATTATCTCGAATTGTATATGATGGATGCTGTTTACTGATGATAGTATAAGGACCAGAAAATCGTTCTTCTAATTTTCCACGATGACCTGGTACTTTCCAAAACACCAAATCATTTATTTCATATTGAGGATCTCGACGATTGTGGTCAAAACGTTGTTTCGATTGTTGTTGATGAAACAGTGTGTGTTGACGAGCAGCTTGACGATAAATATTCATATATTTGATTAATATCATCCAATAGTCATTTGGCCGATTGAATTTAAATATACTTGGTGTCTGATCAAGAGGCAATACAGGATATCTTCCAAACATTAATTGAAACGGACTATATCCGGTCGTACTGTGTACTCCTGTATTATAAGCATAAATTACAGGAGCCAGGCAATCATCCCAGTTGTTTAATTCTGCATTATATAATTTGGACAATTGAGGGTGAAAAGTTCCATTAAATCTCTGTACTAGCCCGTTTGATTGAGGATGATATGTACTGGTTTGTATATGATGAGTTCCTAACAATGCTGTTAAATTTTTCATTAATTCATTGTTGAAATGAACTCCTTGATCAGTAATAAGTCGTCGAGGAATACCAAATTTAAATATAAATTGTTCCACAAAAAATTTTGCTGTTGTTGTTGCTGTATTATTAGGAAGTGGAAATGCTACAACATACTTAGTATAATAATCTGTAATAACAAGAATATACTTGTTGCCATTAGCTGAATATTGTGGAGTTGGACCCCAAAAATCCATAGAGATTAATTCTAAAGGACCTTGTGGATATTCAATCGGATGTAGATGACCTGGAGGTAGTATTCGACGAACATTAAATTTGGCACATTTTTCACAGGACTTAATATAATCTTGAATCTTTTTTTTCATACCGGGCCAATAGCATGTTGTTCGCATTTTGAGCCAAGTTCGATTAACACCAAAATGAGCAGCTGTAGGATGATCGTGATAACATCGAATCACTTCCTCTTGCATTGTTAATGGAATATATATTACTTTAGTTTTAGTATATGCATGTGGCAGTTGTATGATTTTGTACAAAACGTCGTTTTCAATAACATAATTCAGATTATTAACATTTTCTTTTAAAATCTGTTGTCTAATGTGAAGTAATTGAGGATCCTGTTTCTGTTCTTCACTAATTCGTTCTAAACTAAAATCAAATGTCATAGGTGATGAGGTAGATTGATTATCATTATCTGTTGATTTTGATTCAAAAAAATTATTATTTGGTAATGAATATTGCTTAGATTTCATCATTGATCGTGTAATAACATTTAAGAATTTTTGCTTATCATCAATATCCGGTCTTGACATAGCATCGGCATCACCATGCTTACGCCCTTTTCTATATATAACCGCAGATATTTGTGGAATTATTTCTTGATGTTTAAGTAACCATTCTTCAATTCTTTTGCTATTGAATTTACTTTTCTTATGAAATTGTTGTAATGGTTTATGGTCTGAAATAATTGTAACATCTCGACCACCTAAGTATTCTTTCAATTTGTCCATACACCAAAAGATGGCTAATGCTTCTCGATCAATTGTAGGATAATTTCTTTCAGTTGTTGTTAACAATCTGGAAAGATAATAATTATAATGAGTTTGTCCATTAATAATTTGTTTTAATGTTCCTCCAATAGCCTATTCTGAAGCATCGGTAGATAAAATAAAAGGTGCAGTTGAATGAGGATATTTTAAAACTAATGGTTCTTCAGTTAATATTTGTTTTAATTGATTTGCTGCTTGAATTTGATCTTCATGCCAATAAAATTCTTTTTCCTTCTTCTTTGTCTTATTTGTCACTTTGTGTATGGGTGCAGCTATTTGTGCGAAGTTAGGAATAAATTTTCTGTACCAACCAATTTTTCCGATAAATTTATTAGCTTGAGCTAAAGAATTAGGTTGGGACATATCAAGTATAGCTTGAATACGTTCTTTAGATGGAACAATTGAATCTTTTGTAATTGTATGGCTTAAAAATTCAATGGATTGTTTTGCTATTGAACATTTGCTTGGATTTAAAGTAAATTGATGATGATTTAATACAGTAAATAGCTCTTGAAGATGTTTCATATGATCCTTGAACGAGTTTGAAAATACTAGAATATCATCAAGATATACTAAAATATAATCCCATCTTTTGTATCCAATAATATTATTCATAATTCGTTGAAATGTGGGTGGGGCATTCATAAGCCCCATTGGAAGTACTTCAAATTGATATAAACCATCTTGAGTTATAAAAGCAGTCTTCTCCTTATCCGCCTGATGAATCGGAATTTGATAATAACCACTTTTCAAATCCAACTTGGTAAACCATGAATGACCACCTAATCTTTGAATAAGTTCTTCAACTGTAGGTTGCGGATAAGAATCCTTTTTAGTGATGGAATTCAGCTTTCTATAATCAATAATAAATCTAAATTCTCCATTTGGTTTTTTCAACAACACTACAGGTGAAGACCATGGAGAATGTGATGGAATAATAATACCAGCTTTAAGCATTTTATCGATTTCTTGTTGAATATTTTTTCGTTGGTCTATTGTCTTGAAGTATGGCTTGGCATTAACTGGAGAATGATTTTCTGTATTAATAACATGATGGACATTGGTTTTAATTGTCCTTGGTTTAGATGTATCAAATAAAATGTTATGGTTTTGTAAAAGATTCCGTACGTGTTGATAATATAGTGGATTACCTTGAAGGTGTTGAGTTAATGCATTAATAATATCAGCGACTTGTATTGATTTCTTTTCTGTTTCATGTGTTAAATCAATTTGTTGTATTGTGGAATTTGAACATAATGTTGAACAATATACATTTGGAGTTAAATGATCAACCGTACCGAGAAACATTGATTCTGGTAATGTTACTATTCTTGTTGTTGGATTATAAATTGTTAATTGAATAGTATTATTTTTAACATTTACGAGTCCATCGCAAAGACGAATTCTTTTAAACTGTTGAGTTTTTTCATTAATAACATTGAATAACATTTTATTTGAGTGTATAATATTCGATACTATAGCATTAACAACAACTTTACATCTGGGCAAAATTGTACATTGTTGAGCTAATCTAACGGAATTCGATTTCTCAAATTTAACATATAATTGTTGGTGTTGATGATGAATAATAAGACATTGCTGTCTAGTTTTTATTTCTATCTTATATTTTCTTAAAAAATCCATTCCTAAAATAAAATTAGTTGATAAACAATCAACAACTATAGCTCTTATTTGACAGTTTAAACTTTTTATTTTCAAATTTAAACAAATCCATCCATACTGAGCTATTTTAGTTTTTGAATCACCTAATGTAATTTCACCTGTGTGTGTATGAATTCGATCTTGATAATTTAATTTAATAATGGTGGACATTGTAATTAAAGATGATGTTGCTCCCGTATCAATCATAGCACAAAGTTTCATGTTATTAATCCAGGTTGGAATAAAAATTAAAGATGGATAATGTGGATTAGCGAGAGCTGTACCATCATTAGCTCCCACTAATAGTTTTTTGAAAAACAATTACGAGCAAAATGACCAATTCGATTACATCTGTAACATCTAAAGTTTGTTGATGATGGATACGATTTTCGTTGTTGTTGTGAATCGAATTTGACTGGTGATTTTATTGCTGATAGAGAATCAACATTTGATGATGGTAAAGTATCCATTTGGATATTTAAAGATAAATCTAATTTTTCTTCTGCTTGTGCTAATTCCAAAAATTGTACTGCAGTTTTTGGATCTCGTCGTATTACTTCTTTCTTTAATGATATTTTCAGACCTGCTTTTAAATATCCCACTTTGTATTGTTCATTCATATTTAAATCAATCATATCAAATAATTCCATCATATCGTTATAATAATGTAAAACAGTTTCGTCCAAACCTTGTTGACGACTACCAACCTTTTTTAATGCTAATTCTTGATGAAGTATTGATGAAAATGTTTTTTGTAATTGAATGGAAAATGTGGACCAATCATTCATTATAGACATATTATTAATAAACCAACGACGAGCATCGTCCACTAGAAATGTTTGAATAACAGAAAATTTCTGTTGATCATTAAGTTTAACCATATTTAATTCATTTGTAATATCAGTGAGCCATTTGTTCACATTATCATTACTTTTACCACCAAATTTTGGTAGTTTATCGAAATTATTCGATAATATTGTATTAACTAATTTTTCAGTCATCAGAAATGATATTGGACGATATACAATATGTTCGTAATTCGGTAGATGACTTGTCTGTTCAATTTCAATACCAGATAATCGCTGAAACTCTTGGTGAGTTGTTAATTGATCAAGTTCTTCTTGTCTTTTCACTTGTTGTCTCATTTGTACCATACACACAGACAACACCGGCTAGTGCACCAATATGTTACGTCCTTATTTACGTTGATGTGTATATGATTTATATTTAAGATGTTATATATGTTTTTTTCTTATCAGTTATATTTTGCTGAAAATCAAGTAAACACAAACTCCTTCTTTCTTTTTCAAAAATGTCTCCCTCTCTCTCTCTCTCTCTCTCTCTGTCCCTATATATACATCTATATATCTA